GAACGCCCGGTCATTGTAGCTGCATTTGGCCCAACTTTCAGTCCAGATGCAGCGATAATGATCGGGCGTTCTATTCGGGTGAAGACGGTAGCCTCATGTGCCATTCGAGAGTTGTCTGTTCCAGCGGTTGAGTGTTTAGAGTTGTGCGAAGCTCGTCATACATCATACTGTATTTCTCTCCCGTGCCCTTTGCTTTGCATGTCATACTCTTTCCTGCCCTTCACATATTTGTCTCCTGCCCTTTGCCCTCCACCTTCCCCTACCCCACGCTCCTAAAGAACTCCGCCTTCTATCCCTTCCCCTCCACCGTCCCCTTCACCCTCCCCTCCACCCTTCCCTCTTGTGCTACTAGCAAAAACATACGAATGAGCATCATTAAGAGAACAGACGATATAAGGGCCTTGCTTTAAAAAAAAAAAAAAAAAAAAAGATTAAAAAAGAAAAAAAGAGAACAGACGATATGAACATCAGGAGTGAAATAAATAGGAGTATGAAGATCTGAAGAGAAGTACACAGGAGCATACCTCCCTTTTACTCTGCCTCCTGTTATAACGTGCAAGCGGGCCGTTAAGGCACACGGGGATGTGGGCAGCTGGCGCTCAACCACAATCAACGTGGGCAGCCTTGTACGTGTGAGGCATAGTAAAAGACTCAGCTGTTGCCCCAAAGAAACCCCAACTAAACACAATTCAAAATGGATTTGCTTGCTAAAGAGGTGAATTCTTTCGTTGTTGGGCTGGCTCAACTCGAATCTACTTGTCCGGGTGGACTAGGGGCTGTTGTGGGGGAGACTTACAAAACACACACACACACACACACACACACACACACACACACACACACACACACACACATAGCGACACACACACACACAAACACACACATAGAGACACACACACACACAACCTGTCATCCACGTGGCTGGCCTTGTACGTAAGAGGTGATGAACAGGCGGTGATTTCCTTCCTTCTTTCCTTTCCTTGTTTTGTTTTTTTTCGCCTACGCGCGCTGATGCACAGTGTGACAATATATATTATATCTGTCATGCATGTTGCTATTGCTATTGCTATTGCTATTGCTATTGCGATTGCGATTGCTATTGCTATTGCTATTCCGATTGCTATTGCTGACATGCATATTGTTAGTGCTATTGCTATCACAATCGCTATTGCTATTGCTATTGCTATTGCTATTGCTATCGCTATTGCTATTGCTTTGTGCGGATTCTTATGTGCCATATACACTTCGTGTTGCAGTATTCTCTGCTGTGTCGGTTTTGCCAGGCCTGAAGTTTAAGACGAAGGTGGACTGTCTTTTCTGAGACAGAAAACAAAAGATGGGGTGGAAGGACGATCAGGGTAAAGTGTTCCGTAATGATGAAGATGTTTTTGTGCGATCGTCGAGGGGTGGCGTTTCTCAACGAGCCCGAAAAGCCATAACATCGATGATGAGCCCCTGGAAGAGCCTAGCAGGATGTGCCATGGGTTCAGGAGACAGAAGGGTTGTACCGTTGGGCGACGTGAAGGTGAATGCGATGGTGAAGAGTGATACGTCTGACTTGCAGCGCATGTGTTCCCAAAAGCGGGGAAGAGAGACTGAAGCTGATGGACTTGGAACGGACGTCCAGCTGCTGGCTTTCAAGAGAATACGGAACATTGTGCTAGAAGCTGAAAACTGCAGAAGTGGCAATTCAAAGAGGGGGGAGGAGCTAGTAGCCGCCACCTTAGCGAATCCCAGCGTCTACGGGGCCAAGAACGCATCAGGAGAAGATATTCGACGATTGGAGGCATTAGAGAGAGAGAAGAAGGGCATTCAGGATGCACAGCTGATGCAGATTGCCGTTCTCGAGCGGGAGAATAAAGATTGGGAACAGAAGTATCAGAGATTGTGGGCGAGATTTAAGGATTATTCATCGGAGTGTGACAGAATGACAAGAGAGTACCAGAAGGTACAAAAGGAGCTTCATGAACAGACGGTAGCCGCAGAAGATAGCAGGGAGCAGAAAGAAGCAGCGGAGAGAGAACTCTGGAGCGTGAAGAATGAATTAGACGATCTGCGCAAGCGATACGTCGATCTGGAAGAACAATATCTTGAAGCTGATGGCGCTCAGCAAATCCAGGAGGAGGAGATGCGGAACCAGGTAAGTGGAGGGAGGAAGGGGAGGAGGGGGGGGTGGGGGGTGGAGACCACCATTAGTTCTGCTAAACTCAGCTACCTGTAGGCCTGATGCACATGCTGATTTGAAGTTTTTTTGTAAGTCTAGAATGGCACCGGGAATTGTGTATATATAAATATGAGTAAAAGTGGAACAGGTTGGCCGCCTATCAAATGGTAATTGGCTTTTTTTTTTTTTTTTTGTAATGGTTAGTTTTGAATGACTATGCCTACAACTGCATGAAATTGCTAGCAGATGATGGGCAGCCTGCGCAGGCTGGAAGCATTTGATGGGCATTGGAGAGAATTCTCCTACATGGAGTCTGTCGATACCTGGTTGTCACCCACAGCCCACGTGGCTGGATGGAACGCACTCTTGGAACTGTCAGTAAACAGAGCACGTGTTCGAATCTTGATGCAATCAGAAGAACAAGATCAAGTTTGAAAAAAAAAAAAAAAAAAGAAAAGAAAAGAAAAAAAAAGAAAAAAAAAGAAAAAAAAAAGATCAAGTTAGAGGCTAAGGGTGATGCTGAGGCACTCGTCAGATTGCTGAAGCCATGCTTACTTGGGCATTGTGTCCTGCTATTTATTCTACATTAATAATGCCCCTCTTTTTTTTTTTTTTTTGAAACAACGGCGGACGTGGCAGGTTTTGAGTTTGCAAAGGCAAAAAAAAAAAACATGCGTCGACAAAGAAAACAGGTGCGCCGGCAAAGAAAACAAGTGGCGACGCGTGGCTTCTTTGCCGGCGCTTGTTTTTTTTGCTTATTCAATACTCAAAAGTGACATGAACGTGCTTGTTCTTTGCCGGTACTTGTTTTTTTAAGGGGGCCTCTGGTTGTTTGTATTTCTGGCTGTTTGATTGCTGCCCCAGTCCGCCCTGGCTGGAGAGAGAGAGAGAGAGAGAGAGAGAGAGAGAGAGAGAGAGAGAGAGAGAGACAGAGAGACAGAGACCGTGTGGCCCAAAATGTCTGGTTCCTTGCCTGTGTGGCCCAAAATGTCTGGTTCCTTGCCTGTCTGTTGGACTGCAGCATGCATTTCTGCCTCTCAACCTCTGGTTGTTTGTATTCCTGGCTGTTTGATTGCTGCCCCGGTCCGCCCTGGCTGTCTCTGTGGGAAGAGAGAGAGAGAGAGAGAGAGAGAGAGAGAGAGAGAGAGAGAGAGAGAGAGAGAGAGAGAGAGAGAGAGAATGATGAGAGCTCGGAGATTGGTATACAAAGGCACAGTTCACACATGAGAAAGTTGCACCTCTTCTTAAAAATGGCTTGAAAAACACGGTACGCGTCGCCCCGACCCGTTTCGTCGCCGGCGTACACGGCGAACTCCTCAGGGGGCAAAGAGCAACCCATACATCTGTGAGAACAACTGCCTCCTCCTCCTTTTTATAATCTGCACGTGTCCTATTCTACCGCTAACTCATCCTATTCCCATTCTTTCTTCTATACTGCTATGCCTATCCCTGTTGCCGTAGTCACCTTTGTACTCAAGATCCCTGTCCTTGTTTCTGATTGGTTGATTCAGCCCTCGTACTGTCTTCATTTCTCTTCCCGCCAAAATTTTCCTTTCCCGTCAAAATTTTCCCTTCCCGCCAAAATTTTCCCTTCCCGCCAAAATTTTCCCTTCCCGCCAAAAAATTCCCTTCCCGCCAAAAAATTCCCTTGGTCGGACCTCCGATTCTTCGTCCGCTCTTCTACTTCTCCTCTCATCCTCTTCCCCCTCCTTCCTACGTCTTCTCAACCCATCCCTTCCGATTACAGTCTAGGACACCTTCCCACTTCGTCTACCCACGCCCGACCCGTCTCTGTCTTGCGTCAGAATCTCGTCTTCCGCCTTCCACCATTCGACTCACCTTTCTTCATCCTCATTCTATCTCTCTCCGACGTCTTTTCTTCACTTGCGCAGTTGCCTGAAACAGTATCCCCCAGTGCGCCTGTTATGGCAGACTACTCCTTGACTATGCAGAGATATTACCTGGATAGTGAACGGATGGAAGTGTCCTCATTATATCCCTTTAGCCGAGATCCGATTGGTACGCAAATGACCGCAAAGGAAAAAAGAAGGAAAAAAAGAGAGGGGAAAACACCCCATTGTCCCATCGACTCCCGTAACGGTCTTCTGACGCAGGGTTTACGAACTGGCAAAATACAAAACCAAGAGGATGTACAGATCTGCACATTCTGACCTCATACACCTTACATAGTTGCAAAAATACCATTTTTCGGAGCTGAACCTGACCGATCAGCCTCCCACAAAAAACCTTAGTACAGTGCATCGGCAATTCATATTTTCCTCTTTTTTTTTTAATGGCAAGTACAAAAAAAAAAAAAGAAATAATAATAATAATAATAATAATAAATAAAATGGCAAGTACTTTACAACTCCGGGGTACAGTCTGGAGAGCTCATCCCTCCAGAGACGCCCAGAGAACTTAGCGAACTTCGCTAA